GATTGATTGACTTTTAGTCTTCTCACAAAAAAAGTCAAGGTATTATTAAATTGATTGAAATTTATTTATGAAAATGTTTTGAAAATGCATGGACCTAAGTCCAAGTTTATTATGAAAGTGTTTCAAGTTTAGAAATAAGAAGAGTTTTTTTAAAAGGAGGGAGAAGATTTTTGAAATTAAAAAAGGTGGGAGGAGAAGAAGAGACTATCCTAAAGCATAAGGTAAAATCTAGGGATAAGAACTATCTAACTAACAAGAAGCCACAACTTGACATTATGAGTCAATATAGAATTCTCATTCTTCGGATTGAAACAAAGCAAGCAAAGATACTAGACCTCTTGAGAGAATCAAACTTCAAGTGTATTAAGTCTTCACAAAAATTGGGCAGAGTAACAGCTGTATACGGGTGAATTCCAGATTACAAACAAAGTATGTAATCACAATAACCTGCACACAAAATAAACAAACAATCCAATGTCTTGAGGTAAACCTCAAGAATTCCATACAAAATAATCAAGTAAGATCACAAGGTCTCTAAGATAGGCCAAGGTCTCTAATCCTAAGTCCAAGAAGTTCAATACTCCATAATGCCAAGGATAGTAACCAAATAGTCCAAGTATCATTAAAGATTTTTATGGTTCATGTTGATTATTAGGTGTCTTTAAAAGGAAAAGAAAAGCTCAAGTGAGCAAAATAAAAATGACATAAAAGTAAATGCTCAAGTGAGCAAAATCAAAATGGCATAAGAATAAATGCTCAAGTGAGCAAAATAAAAATGGCATGAAATGTAAATGCTTAAATTAAATGGTACATAAAGCATAAAAATAAAAGCATAAAGTAAAGTCAATTGTTAGAAATTAGTGGTTAGTTGGATGACTATCTTGAAACTTATACTTGGAACTCAATAGAGGATTGGTAGAACCAAATCCTCCACACAACAAGTTGCATTTGCTTTTTGTCAAGTATATCATCCATTTTGGAATCCTCGAAAGTTACATTTAATGATCAACGATGTTTAAGTGATCCGCGTTGACTAAAGGTGTTGTAGATCCATTAGAGGATTGGTAGAACCAAAGCCTCCACACAATGAATCTCAAGGTTATTGGATCAAAGAGATCAAACTAACATACTTGGGTTTGCAATCATAAGTTTGGGCCACGAATGATCATTTATTCGAATCGGGACAAAATTTAGCGCTATGTTAAGCAATCGTAAGTGGACTTATGTAGAAGTCGCACCTATTTTGAGGCTGGTCAATAGAAATCTATGTACTTCATGTTTGGATAAATGATATAGAGATCATCATCTCTTAACATGTAGCACAATTAAAAAATAAAGGGATAAGATGAAGAGGGAGGGGAATGATAAGCTAATTTGAATCACCATTTCAAAATTCTTTCATCTTTAAATTCAACCACTCCTCTAGATGGATTAAAGCACTAAACATATCATTAGTCCAAAGCACCAAAAATAAATTAAATAATTCACTCCTAGGTAGATTTGAATTGATGAACATTTATTCAACTTCATCTACATCACAAAGTCCATTGAGTTTAAAGACAAATTGGACATTTAAAATTGCAATCCAAACCAACAATCAAAAGGAGTAAGTAAAAAAATCATTTTGGATCAAAGCTGCCCCAAAACAAGGCAAAAATACATTCTGTCCCTGTGTAAATCTATTGCACTATTGTGTAAATCGATTTACACAGTACATTTTTTTCAAAAAATTATGCAAAATTGCTTCTGTGCAATCGATTGCACAGTTACTGCAATCGATTGCACACTGTTACAGTAGCAAAAACAGCATTTTAAAAGGCCAATTTCTTGTTCAAACTTTCCATCAAACACCTTATGATCATGGATCCAATTGAGCACAAAAATTCCATCAAAATATGAGAAAATAACACCATTGGAATCACAAAATAATGCTCAATGAATCAATCCCAAAGATCACCAAGAGATCATATTGTGAAAGATGAATTATCCAACTTACCAAAGGTAGATCTAGAGAATTATCAAAACAACTTCAAGAATTTGCTTCAATTCAACCACAAGAATCAATTAACCAAGCTTGGATGTAGAGAATTGATGGAGAAAAAGTGTTTGGATGAAGGTTTTTCTCAAAGACTAGTAAGCTTCAATGCAAAGCTTACTAACTTTTTGAAAATGGAGCTTTGAGTGAATTTGGTAGATGGAGAGAATTGAGAGATTTTTTAGCAAGGTGGATTTGGCTATCAAAAGCTTGTGATTTGAATGAAATGAGGTCTCTATTTGTAGAGTTTTAGGATTGGGATTAGTGGTAATTTGGTAATTGATTCTTGGAGCCAAATTTGAATTAATGATATAATTTCAAATTATGCGGGAAAAATTGGAGCCAAAAATAAGACAGATTTGAATTTGCTGGCTTTTTTCAAAAAACACGTGCATTTTGCTGTTATGAGTCGATACATGGGTGGTATGTGTCGATACATCCTAGTTGTATAACACAGCATGTGTTAATACATGCCTCTATGCGTCGATACATACTGTTATTTCAACATATTACAGAACCACACAAACTGCATGAGTCGATACATAACACGTATGTGTCGACACATGCTAGTTATACAAACAGGATGAGTCGATACATACATGCATGTGTCGACACATGCTAGTTATACAAACAGGATGAGCCGATACATAATTGCATGTGTAGACACATGCTAGTTATACAAACAGGATGATTCGATACATACATGCATGTGTCGACACATGCCAGTTATACACAACAAGATGAGTCGATACATACCTTTATGGGTCGATGCATACCTTTATGGGTCGATGCATGCTATCTTTCGCCACAATACAGAATCAAATCAACTTTCATGAGTTTAACACAAGCCTTCATGGATTCATACAAGCTTCCTTTCGACACAATACAGAATCAGTCAATTTGCAAAGCCTTATTTGTTGGATGCTTCGACTTGGTACCTACAAAACACAATTTTGCAAAGACAAGGACAAATATTTTTTTATATTTTGAATTGAAGTTAGTCAATCAACACATATACAAAATACACAACCAAGGTGATTGGAGATTCCTCAAGAGAAAACTTAAAGATAGGAGATAGAAAAAGAGGAAGAATCAACCCTAATGTGATCTTGTTATGATCAAGTTGACATGATATGATGGGGGAATCTTAGGGGCAAAAATTGGGGTACAAAAGTAAATGCCTAAAAACACTCACATTTTCGTATCAAGGTTTGATTCAAAAACTCAATATTTAAAATAAAAAAGGATGAAACTCTTGTAATTGACTTATGCTAATTTACACGAATAATCGATAAATAGTGTTCATGACCCTTAGTCTCTAAAGGACTACTCACTCATGGTGAGGAATAGCATAAACAAAGAAATTTTAACATAAGAAAACATGATAAATAATATAAAACCTGAATTAATAAAATAACTTTGATCTAGTGCTCCAATAGAGACTTGAGTTACCGAGCGTGAAAAAAAAACTTGGAATAAAAACTCAAGACTTCCTATGAGTTTTTATATTAAAATTCTAATAGTGGAATAAATCTAAGTTATTAATAGTCACTACATCAGGAAATATCTCAAATCAATTCTCATTAAGAATAGAATCAGTCTAAATTAGAATATGCAAAATTCCCAAAACAACAATTAATCTAACCGAACAAGGAAACAAAAATTGTGACATTCTGCCTGCCTCTTACGGACCGTAGCACGCATTACGGGTACCTGTAACAGGCCTCTGGTTTTTGGCCCAACGCATAAAAAAAGGAACTTCAGGTTTGCATGTTGTTACGGGTCGTAACACGCATTACGGGAACCCATAACAGCCCCCTGGACTTTGTACTGGGAACTTTAAGCTTTTGTGTTTTCCTTCGTCTTTCATCCAATTTTATCTCCTTTTCTTCTAATACAATGATAGAGACCTGAAAATGACATAAACACAATACCCAAGTATAAAACATAGAAAAATGAAGGAAAAGCGAATAAAAATGATAAAGTAACAAAGTAAAATATCTAATAAAAACGATGCAAAAACCACTTATCAAACACTTACAAGAATTTTTAATGTTTTCAAGATGATCAAATTGCTGAATTTGAGGTTATTTTCCATATGATTCTAAGCTTCATTTCAAGTTGTGTTCAGCTAAAAAGTTGATCATCTTTCTACAATTTATATGGTGTGCCAAGAACTCATAATTTGAGCAAGAATTTCAAGATTTATGGGATGTCAAAGTGGATGTATCAACTTAGACATGTTGACATGTCAATAGAATTTTTCTAAATGCCTAAGCCAAATTTTGGTGTCATTACTTCAAGACCTAATTCCATGAGCTTGCAAGCTTCATTTCAAAGAAAGATCAACACCAAAGTTGTTCAATTACGTTTCATCTTTTTCATGACACCAGGAGTGTATCATTTGGTACAATAGTTATGGAGTTAGAGATTCAAGAAGTAGTGAAGATGAAGTTGATAACTTGACATCATACTTAGAGAATTTTCAAGTGCTTAAAGCAGTTTTGGTATCAACACTCGGTGGCCCTTTTAAAGGTTGTTCCAGTTACTTTCCCAATTCAGTACCAACACAAGAAATGTTCCTTGATATGTTAGCTTTCCATTGATCCCAAGGTTTTGTCATATGGAGGTATATATGAACATCAAAATGCATACATACCAATATGGCTTCATGGGCATATGCAACAATCTCATCATAATTTGGTCAAAAACTGCATCAAAATGAATTTTGGTGTTTGTAGGCTTCAGTCACGCTACATATATGCACAACACTCTCTTTTCTTTCCCTCAATTGGCCAAACAAACTATATACCCATGCATGCACACTTCTTGCATTCTTACCAAAAACAAAAAAAGTGTGAGCAAAGCACAAACTTGCTCTCCACTCTCTCCCCACGTGACAGCCCACACCTCATGATTTGTTTGTTCCATTTGATCTTCAAAATGCAACAAAACCATCCACTTCATGAATCAAAACGCACACAGCCAGCCTCACTCTCATCCTTTTTTTTTTCAAATTTTCCAAGTGTGTGTAACAAACTTCTCAACCACGGTTAAAGGTATAACCTCACTCACACCACACTATAAAAGCCTCTCATCTCTCATAATCAAATCAGTGATCTCAGTTTGGTCAGAAACCAGATCTGATTTCACTCTTCTCTCTCAAGAACTTCTCTCTTCTAGTCACACAAGAGTTGCTCGTTTCTATTTTTGTAAAGTTCAAGGCATTGAGCAGTAGCATTTTCTCGTCATCTTGCTGAAGATCCAGTGCACAGTGGACATACTCCACTAGGTAAATTTCTCAAGCCCTTTCTACATTCAACATGCTAGCATTCTATGTGACTTAGGAGCATACATCTTTTGAACCCTACAATATGTAGGAAGTGGTTTAGACTTGAATTTACGTTGTTTCGTAATATTTCAGTTTTGATAGATTGATTTCGTAATCTGATTTAGCCATGATAGAGTGAATGTTTGAGAAAACTAAGTTTAGACTCTAAATCTACGTGAAATTTCTCTTGGAATAGTGCTTTAGGTTTTCATTTTTGTGCCAGGTTTAGGAACCCACGTCATCATTCTGTTTTGTATTGTTTTAATTAATGGTTTTTAAAATGGAATTTGAATATTGGAATAAAGAAATAAAAAAGGAAAATGACAAATGGTTATTTGTTTGGAATGATAATGTAGTGGACTGGGTTTAGTACTTTTTATTTTTTGCACCCCCACCTGATGGGCCTAAATTCAATTTGAACTAAATGTAGTTCAATCTGAATATCTGCTAATGCACCTCCCTTTTGGTTTATGTTCTCTTTTTGTTTCTTTTACATTTTGATCTTATTTTTAATTTTCCCTTTTTATAAAAAATCCACAAAAAAAAAAAATTATATTCTTGAGTGTCTTAACTAATTGTCGATATTTTTTATTTTAATTTTCATTTTTATTTGGAATTAATATGTGAAGGTGTTGTTTGTTGATCATCCTTTGATTAGGGTTTGTGTTTGATGCTTGTTGAAAAACTTCTTGAGCCAATCTTTAGGGCACTTTAGGAAACTTAAGTGTTGATTGATTACATGTCAATTTGATGCAAGTTTGATATATTCTTGAGGTCTTTCAATTGGAGTTCTTTGAGCCTCGATTCTTGTTGGTTTATTGAAACACATTTTTGCATTGGTGAATCGTTTGATGAGATACACTTGAGCAATTTTTTAGGATTTCTTCTCACTTATACTTGAATGTCATGCCATGAGTTAGATCCCTAATTTTATATTTTATTGGTCATTCATTTGCTTTAAATTGATGATTTAATTAGGTGATCTTTTGAGGTATTGTTTGTTTAGCTTGTGACCTAGTTTTTAGCATGGCTTATGTGAGAACTTTTTGATACTTATGAGCTTTGAATGATGTGTATACCTTGACCAAAGATTCTGACTTGTCATGTTTTCCATGCCTACACTCTTCATCATTTGCTCATATGCTTGTTATGATTAGTTAGGACTCCTTGATGACATTGTTGATGGATAAATGCTTAGTTGTTGGTTGTTTTGTACTCAATTCATGTTGAACTCTTATATACTATTAAGTTTGGTTTTGAATTTAATTCTTTCTCATGTTATGGTCTCATCTTGTTTCTGTAACACCCCGATTTGATTAAATAATATTTATATTATTAATTTCCAAAATTATCAAATTATATCTATTTTGAGAAATATATTCATTTGATATCGATTAAAATATTAATTCGATTATATGAAATAAATATATTTATATTGTTGAAATATTATTTTGAATAAGATTAATTTGGTGTGTAATAATATTTGGCTTTGTTTGATTAATTGGTATAATTGAATTAATATGACTAATTGATATTTATTACTATCTTGGGCTATAATTTGAATTAATTATGTTGGGGCCAAATTAGAATTATAGAAAGTTGGAGGGATAGAAGTTAGTAGTAGAAAAGTTTGCTTTATAAAATAGAGAAAGAATAGTTGGTAAGAGGTAGAAAGAAAGAAAAGAGGAAAAGAGAGAAGAAGAAGAGAAAGAGAAGGAGAGCCTTGGAGAAGAGGAAGAAACAAGAACATCAAAGGCTAGGGTTTGGATTGGGTAAAAGATCATGAAGCTTTGCAAGAACACTTTAAGGTAAGGGGTTTGATTCTCCATCTCATATTGTTAGGTTTTTGTATGATATATTTGGATTTAGGGGTAAAAATTAATAGTTGATTTTTTTAGGGTTTTGTTGGTTGATTGTTAGAATGGTTTAGAAAAGTTGGATTAGGAGTATGGTTTGTGGGTGTATTAAGTGCTAGCTTGTGGAAATTAAGAGTATTGAAATGGGAGAGAAAACCATGGTAGTTGAATGAGAAAAACTCAAAAGAGTGGAGTTTTCACGCAGGCCTCACAACACGGGCCGTGTTGCAGCACACGGGTGCCCGTGTTGCTGCTCTGACTTGGCATTTCTTGGCTCATTCTGGTGGCCTCTCAACACGGGCCGTGTTGCAGCACACGGGTGCCCGTGTTGATGCGTCTGTAGCCTCCAAAATTCTAATTTTCGCACTTCCTTTAGAACCCGTTTGTGTTCCGATTCCGGTAGATTCGTCGACGGAACAAGTTGCTCTGAATCCAAAGAAAATTGACGTGCTAGCGTAATCCAACGTGTAGCTTGACGTAGTGAAGTTCGTCTTGCGAAATTTCGACTTTTAAGAATCGACCCGATTTTAGTGCGAATGAAATAAGTTGAGTTTAATCCCGAATCTAACCGTTCGAGTTACATTCCGGTGACTCGATCGCGATGAGAACATTGAGAATAATGCCAGTTCATTGATAATGACTTTATGTTGAAATATACTTTCCGATTTGGAATTGTTGATAGTTGATGGTTTATGTTTTGGTTGAGTAAGTAATCTCGTTTGTATACATTTTACTTGACGTTGAGATTGATAAATTATATGTATGCATGCATGTACAATAGTTGATGTTCCATTGGTTGGATTTGATGGCATGTGTATGTTAAGATTGTTGTGAGTCTTAATTGCATGCATTGGTTATATTGTACATAGCATGGCATGGTGGTCTTGAAACAGAGACGGTGGAACTTTGGGTCCACAATATCTAGACGGTGACCCTATTGTGGGAAAAGACGTAGTGACCTTGATCCGGAAGGGAAACATAGGTGGTGGAACATTGGGTCCACAATATCTAGACGGTGACCCTATTGTGGGAAAAGACGTAGTGACCTTGATTCGGAAGGGAAACATAGGTGGTGGAACATTGGGTCCACAATATCTAGACGGTGACCCTATTGTGGGAAAAGACGTAGTGACCTTGATCCGGAATGGAAACATAGGTGGTGGAACCTTGGGTCCACGTGTCGGTACCGCATTTGCATACGTTGAGTCGTGTTGTGAGTCACATGTATAATTGTGCATGATATGTATGTGTATTGATGTGTTTGATTATGTGCCAATATTGTTGTTGTTTGAATTATGATTATGTGCCAAGGATGTGAGTATTCGGATAATCGGTTTACATGGTTAATGTGTTGGAAATGGATTCCTTGAGTAAGGATAATACAGGTGATGAAATGAACATGATCATTATGTATTGCTTTATTTATTGCCATTTCATTTACTTAAAATTACATGTTATATGACTATTAGAATTCTTACCCTTTTGTTGGCCAATGCTTTTGATGGCATTGTGCAGGTACCGAGGACGGTAGCGCGAGGCGCTAGCTAACGGATGCATTGGATTGCAATCTGTTTTATTTTGTTTAGAGTCGAGTCGATGCTTTGGTAGTAACACATGGGGGGGGGATTTATTTAGTGTCGAACTCGATTATTTTGTATTTGGATTATGATGTATATAATCCTTAATTGTGTATATGATGTTTTGTATATGTGAGACTTGATAACATATGCTTATGTGAATTATGATGGCTTGGTGCCTTGAATTATGTTTTGATTCCTCCATAAATGGAGATGATGTGAAATTATAAAACTCCGTTGCGTTTGCACGAGAGAATGAAGTAAATATTTATGATATGTTTGTTTTGTGTTGGAATGCTTATACTTTCAAACATACCCTGTCCGTTTTTCCTTAAAAACTTTGGAATGTGATGTGTGTTGTGGCATCCCTTCCGTGCAATTTTATTTCTCTGATTTTAATATTTACCTTTAATTGGGGTATTTAGAAGGGGTGTTACAATAGTGGTATCAGAGCAGGTCGGTCTATCGGCCAGGTTGTTTATGTGTTTAATCCCTTTTGGTACGAGACATGTGTGTGAAACACTGTCGGTACTTGATTGTTTCCTTTTCGTTGTCTGCAGAGGTACCTGTGAATTAAGTGGGGGAGAAGTTTCTTCTCTGAAGTTTTGTGCAAGAGGTTGGTTCCGTATACCGCCGATTGTAAGATGTAAGTATTGCCGAGCAGTTGATGCTTCAAGCATGGTTATGTTTAAGTAGCTTGAGGGGTAAGATGGAAGATGCTGTTGTGGTTTGGCAACGATGGTTAATGCCACCTCATGATTGTCGACTGTCTATTGACAAATTGAGGGACTGATCATCCTTAATCTCTTGTTGATGGTAGTCGGGAATTGTGTTGTTTGGGATAGACTTGTCTTGCCAACTTAATAGTGTGTGGAGCAGATGAGTTGGCACAAGGCAGTGCATGGTTACTTGAGTTGTGGGCGAATTTGGATTGTGGTGAGAAATAAGATTTTTGGCAAGCGAGCTTCTTGTTGTGATTCTTCCGAAACCTTTTGTGGAAATGTGAGTGAATTACCGCTGTAGTGCGAGGTGAAGTTTTGATGGATTTAGTTTCTGGAACTAGTTGGGATTTGAAGTATCCTTAAGGGATGTTTGTTTCTGAATTAGAGTTGAAGAGTCAACTTGAATATTGGTTTTAGTAGAGTTCGTTTGTTTGAGTGGTTCGCCGTGGAGCGCGCCGATTGTGTTGTTCGAGAAGAGCAAAGGTTACCTAAGATGGTGTGTCGTTTGTAGTCAAGGAATGAAGCGGATGTTGAGGACGAGTGTCTGCTTCAGAGGATTGATATTTAAGTGAAGCAGTTATTTGGAGTTTATGTGTTTAGTGAGATCGTTTTGAAGTCTGGCTGCCTATGGGTTAGTGTGAGGGTTGAGGATGTTCAGGCAATGCTTTTCAAGATAGTGTATGGTCCGGGCGAGTATAAGCTGATGTCATTAGTGTGCCTAATGCGTCAGGTAAGATTTTGAAATGTTCCAA